ACACACACACACACACACACACACACACACACACACACACACACACACACACACACACACACACACACAGGTGTTCCAGCCTCTGACAGATGTTGTGTTTCAGGATCTTTGCTCTGCAGTTTCTGGATGAGCTGGTGAAGATTGAAGCTCACAACTCAGATGTTCTGTGTCTGGAGTTCTCTCCTCCCTCCACAGGTGAGCAGCTCGCACAGGTGACATCACTGCAGTCAGTTCTGATGGTTCTGAAACCTGTCCTGTGTTTCAGGTGTGAAGCTGTTGGCCTCAGCCAGCAGGGACCGTCTGATCCACATCTTCAACGTGGACAGGAGTTACAGCCTGGAGCAAACCCTGAGTGACCACTCAGCATCTATCACTGCTGTGAAGTTCACAGGTAGGCTCAGGTGTTTCACACCTGCTTTCACTGCTCCAATCATCAGTCAGAGTGTGAATCAGCTGAACCAGGTCACTTCCTGTGTTCCAGGTGAGGGTCAGGAGGTCCAGATCGTGAGCTGTGGAGCCGACAAGAGCATCTACTTCCAGACAGCAGAGCAGGTCAGAACCAGATCCAGGATGATCTGACTGAAAGCAGGACTAATTTAGATCCGCAGCAGGACCACGGTCCCAAAGTATGTTTTTTATTTTTACAGCTGCCCAGGAACGGTCTAAACTAGCAATAATTAAAAAAGATCTCAAACAGACCACTGGAGCCAGAGAAGTCACGTGTTGAAGCTCAGTCAGCCTCTGGTTTCAGCCCCTGTGCAGCTGAACTCTTCCTGTTTGGTTCAAACTCTGTCCTGATAAAGTTAACGTCTGAAGTTGTTTTTGTTTGTTTTCTTCTGGTCCAGACCGCAGAGGGCCTGATGTTTTCCAGGAGTCACCACGTGGTGGAGAAGACCACCTTGTACGACATGGACCTGGACTCCTCCAGGACTCACGTGGCCATCGCCTGTCAGGACCGAAACATCAGGTGGAACAAAGCAACCTGTCAAAGTTAAAACAGTAAACTCTCAGCAGCGATGTGGATAAACCCAGTCTGCAGCAGAGAGACGACTGACAGCCATGTTTAGTTTTAATTCASATTTCTGGGTGAATCTTTAAAATTTTGCAAAACGGAAAAACTGAAGAAATGTGAATCTGACGTGTGTGTGTGTGTGTGTGTGTGTGTGTGTGTGTGTGTGTGTGTGTGTGTGTGT